GCTATAATTGTAATAATGCTCAACATATTTATCATAAATAGAAAAGCCATAAAAAAAAAAAATAGCGACACCACTTGTAAATATAATATATATATATGTTGTTATATAATATACAGTATAATGGTGAAGTTAATTGATTCGAATCATGTAATATACGTACGTACGTATATATACAATTGAATATATATGACGTCAGCTATAAATATATTTTTTTATGGGTGATGCTAAGGCTGTTTATCACGAAATCTAAAAAAACGCCACACTAATTGTCTCTTCAAATTGTTTCTAATTTTGTCATGACAATAAAGTTTTCATTAAAAGTATCGATATAATTACTATTAGCGAACATATTTTCTGTAAAGAGTAAGATAATAATCACCCTAGCAATATTTTTATATACATTTTCGTGTTATCCTTTTCTTTTTCTTTTTTTTTTTTGAAGCACCTACATTTATGGCATGCGTTTCTTTAGTATCACAGATCAGTTAGTTTCAAGCATATACAGCAGGATGAAACAAGTTATCATTATTTAAGCATTATATATGTTATTATCTTGTTCAAAGCATTCATATTTTTTTTTACTGGTCGTGGTATATTAATTCGACCAATAAAATCTTCAAATGTACTTAGAAAGATTCATGTGTAGAAACAATTTCTATTGATTTCTGCGTACAAACCAAGGCAGTAAGAGAGAATTGCATGTTTATTATAATTGATTTTTTTCTTTAATATTTCCAAAAATAAATTCAAAATTAAGAGAAATTTTCGGATTACCGGTTTTCCTTTTCTAGACAACAATATGTAATTTAGCAGATAATAAGAAAGGCATCTTTATCCCAATCAATTGGTTTTACTCTTAAATATTTAAAATTTTCAATAAAATCAAATTGGAAATAATTTTATTTGCCCCCGACCTGTGGAGGAACGTAGGTTACCGAAGGTCAGATAAGTATAAGCTTCAACTTCTCACATTTTATAATCGTGTAACACGTATGTAGAAATGCAGCATTTCTGAAATTACCCACCTTTGGTTTGGCCAACAAACCTTTTCAGTTTCTTACATTGAGCGTTAAGAGTCATCAAAAAAACGAAACCGAGCATTTGTCAACCAAATGGTGATTGGTTGATATAATCTATTATTTTTCTATTAATAGATTTTATCAAGGGGAACACAGAAGACGACTTTTACCAAATATGTATTTTTCATGTTCTTCCTATACCGATACTGCTATATTGGAATATGTAAGATCATACTTTAACTATGGTTTGTAAATTATTCAAAATACAATTTAAAAATAATATCGATCATTGATATATGAAATAGTTGATGTAATAGATGAATTAATAAAGTTAATGACGAAGTTAATGACTGAATATTTTTGTTAAATCCTCGTGTTTTTTTTTTTGCTTTTTTTTTGTATGAATCGTAAATTTTGACAAGTCGGTTTTAAAATAGTAGATAAAAATTAATTTAAAAGATTGCTTACATTTGGATACACCGAGTATATCGATATAACTGTATAATAACGATAATATAAAAAATCCTACGTATAAATACCATGCAAACTATTCCAAAAAGCTCAAACCTTTTAAAGCAAGTCATTTATCAAAAAATAGGATTCTCATTTTCATCTTTAAATAGCTCTATTATTACGATGGCTGGGGTTTGATTACAACGTTAGCCTGTCAGTCACTTTTCAGTTGCTTAACAAATAAATATCTCATTTTTTGCATGATCTAAATCCTGGAATTTTATTTGAACGAGAAATAAAATAAAAAAAAAACAAATATATTAAAATTATAATAACTTATCAAAAAGAATCAATAACAATGATATCAAAGTTGAGGGGATTTTACCAATGATATTGTTGAAAACGTGAGCAAAAAAAATTAATACTTATTTAAGCAAAAAAGTGGGCTGTTTATTTTTATTTATCATTATTTTTTTTTTGAACTCGTCCGATAAAGATTATTCAAAATCATTGGATTTATCCGTTTCATTTTTTTTTTCTTTTTAACCTTTTTCTATTTTTTTTTTTTCTTTCTTGTTCCTGAATATTTCTAAAAACCAAAAATATGCAAGAAACAACGAAACCTTCAGTTTATAAAACTTCAAAAATATATTATAAATCGCTAAAAGAATCAACTTCAAACAAACTTTCAAATATTCGTAAAAGATTATCAACTATATCTAGTCTTGATTCTGGTGTTAGTTGGTTAGACGAATCTGATAGTGAAGAATTTCCTAATCCTACTCATAATAATAAATTTCAAAATGGCATTAACAACTCAAATAACAACACGACTAATTGCAATAACGTTGAAGTTGAAACCTCATCAATTTGCGATAAACAAAATGGTATTAGCAAAAGTATGTTATTATGTTATTATTTCACACGCGAAAATAGGATTTAAAAAATTTTATTTTTTTTTTTATATTAAAAACCAAAGATTTTTCTGATGTCACTCCTTTAAAACCAACGGATTGTGTCACATCAAAATTTATCGAAATAATAGAAATTACACCTGATAGCGATAAACTCACAGAAAATGCCGCATCAAGATTAAAACGTTCTTTTGCACCTTTGCGTCTAACACAAGCTAGTCGTCGAGCTAAAAATATTCCAATTAAAAAATTTAACACATTAAACACCTATGCATCAAGCAATGACCCTTCCACGGGCACGCATGCTCAAATAACAAATAGTTCTTGTAGAGATCCCGAGAAGTACTCTTCTGGTGACATAAAAGCACATCAAACCACTTCGACGAACTCATCACTTGTCATCCCTTCACAAAATAATAAAAGTTATAATTCGCATTGTTCTGAAATAGAAGGAGATGAAAGATCAAGAAACATTGTTAAAACAAAAGAACATAAAAATCCGGTTGAAAAAGTTAAATGGCGTATTAAGAAATTCTTTATTATCAAAAACAATCGGAATTTTAAGGCCGATGCGGAAAGACCAAATTCTTCGAATAATAAGTGGAATTGAATATGGTAGACATTGTAAAGGTGGATTGAACTATAAAGGCAATAGTGGATGAATAGAGTATTAGATGAGAAACATTAAATATGTAAATAGTGATTAGGATAAAGGAATTCGAAATAAAATTTGCAAATTACTCTGTGTTCAAGATGTTCGGTATAGGGACCTGCACGGGCCTAAAAATTTGTACTTTTGCCGGCCCGCACGGCCCGCAAAATAAAATTTACTCTGTTTTTTAAAATTTCGACCCGCAATTTACTATGTTCTTGACACACCAGGCCCGCAATTTTGAGAGGTTTTTAAATTTTCAAATTTCGGCCCGGCCCGTGCAGGCCTCTAGTTCGGTATATAAGTTCATATATTTCTACTTTGTAAACCTTTCGCCGAGTATACTGGATGATTTGTACACACAGACATACATGACTTCACTTGTTCAATATATATTGTTTTTTATTCTTAGAGCTGAAATATTTAAAGCTCATAGAAAGACTTTCATATGATTGGCTGTTTAAATCAATTTCATTTCACATTATTTATACAGTTTAAAGTACTTTAAAAAGAAAAATAAACTACAAAGAATAAAAAGTATATAGAAATCCCTTTTTGTTTCAGAAAAGTTAGCATGATAAATGACAATAACCTAGTTCTACATATCTATTTTTAAGAAGTCGTTATTTATTATGCTAACTTCTCTAAATCGAAAAGGGAATTGGATTATTTCAATAGTGGAGTCCTACAACCCTAATAAACCTTTCTATATACTTTTTTATTTTTTGTAGTTTTATTTTTCTTAAAAAGTCTTTTTAAGATAATGCAAAATTAAATTGATTTAAACAGTTAATCATATGAAAATCTTTCTTGAATTTAAAGCGATGCGACTTGCTCTTCAAGGTTTAAATTTAATATGTTCTAAATATATAAAACTTTTAATACTCGCAATTAAAGATTGATTACCAAAAATAAACATATACAATGCATTTTGATAACTTTAAGGGTTTTACCTTTACTTAATATAGATTACATTTACGTAGCAAATTAACTTTTAATTTTCTTTTGATTAATAACAGATAAATCAAATTAACTAGAAGATTTACATACGTACGTACAGTGCGTATCAGGTATGTACTTAAGGTTATTTATAAAAACTTTGCAGGGGTTTTTGGGACTTAGCGTTAGGACGAATCTTTAAATTAAAAAATCATATTGGCCCACCTTATTGGAGGTCACAATCTGTCATAAACCTTCACTGCACGTAACTTTACTACGTAATTACAGGGGTTTGCTAAAAAATACTTTGAATTATATATTTTGTAAAAATTTTTAGAAACTCGAATGTGCTTAAAAATACAATAAATTTATAAATTTTGATATATAACAACATTTTAAGATATATACATTATCGTTATATATATATAGTTTTTTTTTTTTTTTTTTTTGAAACAAAAAGCAATACCGTAAATTTTCGAAATAGCGCTACTTTGAATCCCTGCGCGCTGTTTCGAGCACGCCCATGAGCGTTATTGCTAATATGTAGATGATTCTCTAAATAGAGATTCACAAAGGACTGATCAGACCGGTCTGGGACCGGACTTAGGGACAATTCAGAACTGGTCCGAAACTATTTCTGTACCTGGTTTTTTTCAAGATGCTATTTCAAATCTACATATGCTATTTT